TTTGGGGGGGGGGGGGGGGGGGGGGTACTCATGTTTCGCATGCCTTAGCGGTCAGACCATCGACCACGCGTCCTCGAGAGGACGGAGCATTGTTCCCACAGTACCGACCGATCACCGATGGCCGATCGGTCCTTCCTCCTCGGGGCGGGCGGGGGATCCGCACATTGTGTCAGGTGTGAGGGGTGGGGGGCGGGGGCGGGGATTCTTGCCGACGTAGGTTCGACCGTACGTGCATGCATCCATCCGTTTGCTAAAACAGATTTCTTCCTCCTGATGGTGCGGCGTGCACCCTCGCAAAACTCTAACACTCGGCTTCACACACACACACACAACCACACGAAACGCGCGCAGATCTGTTGTAATTGACGTGTACCACAAGCAAGTGTGGTGCCTACTTTGTTCCTAGCCTGCGGGTGGCAAACATGCCCTTCTCAATTTGAGATTCTGCCGTTCTCGCGTGAGAGAGGGAGAGGAGGAGGAGGTCGGGAGTTTTCTTTAGTTCTGTCCGGGACGAGACAACTTTTTTATGTGGCACAACAGCAGTACTGTATGTATGTGCCACACCTATCTTTACAACGGCGTCATCAGGGAGAGACGCACGCACAAGACTGCGTGCCACAAACCCTCTTTGTAATCGCTCCCTGGAAGCATGGCTGTGGGTGCACGGCGGTGTATGCATCACACGTGCAAGGCCAACTTACCGGCGGGCTTGGCACTGTCAACGGGTATATCCACGAAGGCAGTCAAACACGAAGAACTTCACGAAAGCAAGATCCTCATTTCGAGGCATGCGAGAGAGAGAGACCAAGTATAGCGGTGAGTAAGAGCCAGGCACGAGGCTAAAGCGGTTTCGTGCTGCGCCTTGGGCAAAGTAAGTCCATGACAAAAAACCGCTGCAGAAGGTCAACCGCTGTGCTGCTGTGCATTGGGTTCCGAAACGCTTCGGAAGGCAATATCCCACAGCAGTCGGTGCGAGAACCGTACGTGACATGACACAAGATGTCACCCCCCCCCGGACTGATTTCCGACAGCTCGAGTACTCCACACGACGAAGAGGATGGACAATATCAAGCCATGCGTCTCTAGAAAGGTCTCGACATGGTGGTTCCAAACGCCTTCTTCCACCATTCCGGCACCCCCGCTCTTCCTGTCATCTCGGATAAATCGAACTGTGATCACACCGGTTCGTCCCAGGGGGGTGGGTGGTATCTTCGGTCAGTATACTACAGCACTTCCTTCTTGGAGCCATATAGTTTTGAAACACGGGCCAAGGGATGTGTGCTAAATATAAATACTGTATCTTACGTAACGGGGGTGTGCTATCTTGCGTCACCAGCGATACTGCTTACTGCATGTGTGCTACTGCTGTAGTACTGTAGCAGTTTGCCTCGCCTTATGTGCCTCGTCGAAGACGATGCACCCCTCGGCATCGCGGCCCCCGAGCCACCGCGTGAGCTGGCCGAGTCGAGCCACAGTCCCATGGCCCTGCAGCAAAAGAATGAGAGCGCACGCGTCGTTTCGTTGGGACGGCGAGATGCACACTGCTGTACGTGCTTTCTTCTCATTGTTGAAGAAGTTGGTCGCCCAATGTCCTCCCCGCAACCCCCCCCCCTCCCGCCCCGTGCGAGGAGCCCCGTAGACTAAAACTGTGTGCGTTCGCGTTTCGTTTTTCGCCCAGTTGCGAAGACTGACGACGTCATTTTCATTGGTCCGTCGGCTCTAGCGGGGTCTGCAGAAACACGCAACACACGAATTCATGGTACTACTGTACATACACGCACCACGCAAGACGTCCGCGCGTCAGTTGGACCGGCGGTACAGATATTGCAAGGGGCACTGAGCTGAGACCGGCACGGTCTGTAACGTGGTTACAACAACAACGGATATCACGAGGGGTGCTGAGCAGAGACCGGAACGGTGTCTAGCGGAAAGATAAAAACAACAACACACACACACACACACACACCGACGTGCTCTCGCTGACCAAGGTGAGGCTCTTGTAGGTGCAAAATATCACCCCGTCTCCCACGGACAGATTGTCGTCGTAGGCCAGGTCCGAGAGGTTGTAAACCTTCGGCCGGTTCTTCTTGCCGGGCTTGATGTCCCTGTTGCGGCCCGCGGCAGCACAAATCAGCAGCGCGGGCAGCGGCACGATCACCAGCGCAATCAGCGGCGCAAGGGCGGCGGCGCAATCATCAGCAATATTAGCGGCGCGACCAGCAGCGCAGGCAGCGGCACAATCAGCGGCACAATTAGCATCGCCAGCAGCAACTGGTTGTGATCAGGACGGAGGGGGGAGTCATCGGGTGGCGTGGTTCCTCATTACACTTGGCGCATCGTGAGCATAGGTGATGCGTTGTTGCGGGGGTTGTTGGTTCAGGTTCATCGGTCCAGAAGAAGTGCAACAAGTCTCTCTTCGTGTCGGGGAGCACACCAGACAACAAAAACGAGCAGAAAGCTAAAAAAAAAGAATGAAAAGGCGTGGGAGGAACGTTTGGCTCACTTCGAGTCTCTCTCCGCGTAAAGGAGCGCATCAGGCAATAGACAATGGAGGACACAAACAAAAGGAGGGAACGAAAAAGGTCAAGGCACAGTACATCAGGCAAAAATAATGAGTAGAAAGCACACGAGAAAATAACGGAAAAGGTGTAAATAGGAGGAACATTTCGCTCACTTCAAGCCTCTCCTAGTGTCATGGAGCAGAAAAGAATGAAATAGGTGTACTGAACGTATCGCTCACTTCAAGTCTCTTTTGGTGTCGTGGAGCAGGTCTGGCGATATGCTGAACCAGATGTGGCGCTTGTGCCCCTGCATCCACGCGTCCATGATGATTCCCGCGAGCTGCCTCCCCTTGCCGACGCCGGCCCCGTCACCGATCATGAAACCTGTCGTGTGGCGCGCGTGGTCAATAGTGCCGTTCCGTGTTGCTGTTGTTGTTGTTGTTGTTGTTGTTGTTGTTGTTATCGTCGTCGTCGTTGTTGCTGTTTTCGTTGTTGCTGCTGCTGCGGCCGCCTGAGTCGTTGTCCTTGGGCGCCTTACCCGACAGACCAACCAAACAACTTCAGCCTTGCAGTGCAGCCAGCCGCGCGCGTCGATAAGACGGGCGGTAACGACCAAACGTTCCACTAATAACAACAACAACAACGCAATCCATGCTCACCCGCACGCTCCCCGTTCTTGAGGTGAGGCTTGCTGAACTGCTGCCCGGCGTACATGACGCTCTCCATCTGGACTTCGCTCAGCTGCTCCAGGGAGGACGGCGGGAGGTGCGACTCGTACGTGACGTCAGGGGGGGGCACCGCGGCCAGCGACGTGTTCTCGACCACGGGGTCCGGGGGGGGTTTCCCTATCTGGAAGGGGGGGGGGGGGTGCTCATGTAAACACAGGCCTAGTCGATAGACCATTGACCATGCATCCCAACAACTCCGGGACGGAGCGCGCCGGGTCCTCACCGGACCAGGCTATGACATCACGTCACCAAGGGTGGTACTCATGTAAAGACATGCTGTAGTCGTCAGACCTTTGACCTCGTATCCCTACACAATGCCGGGCTTTTGCCGGCCCAGGCTGCGTTTCACAAAGGGGGAACAGAAGCAGCTGGCCATCATCATTGTGTTTGCTGTGCCAAAACCAGATACCATAATTGTGCGTGTTATCGCCGCACCCCCGTGATAAAGCGTTTTTCTATAGCGTATTTCTCCACAGCTAGGAGGGTGCGAATACCAACTGATACCTCTCCGGAAAGCCCTTGACGAAATGTTTCCAAAACCACCCTTTTCGGAGGTGGTGATACCTCCCTGGTTGTGGAGAAATACGCTATAGAAAAAACGCTAACACGGGGGTGCGGCGATAACACGCACAATTACGGTACATATGCAGGGGGTTGGAGGGTGGAGGTCCGGTGCGGGGATGCACTATTATTAGTAGTAGGCGAAAACAATGAGCTGCGTCTGTACAGTGCATCTAATAGTGTTGAGAGAGACATACAGGTGCGCGTGTATTCGCAACTGCTGCGTAATGATGACGTAGGTCCCCCCCCCCCTCCGGCTCCGCCCTTCCCACGCTAGAACAACATCAGAAATGCACCATCTATCGCCAGCGGGGGCGGGCGACACGCGCGAAGGGGCACACGGGCACCCCAGGGTTCAGCACACCCTACAAGCAGCAGCCCTCACCAAAAGGTTAAAACCATTACACTCCTTCTTAAAAGTAACGCTGCCACTGCGGCCGTGCGTGCCAAGGCGGCACACGTAGATATTGTATACGCACACGCCGCGCAGCGGAGAGACGGTGCACCCACCCTGACTTTGGCCGGGCGGTAGGGCGTGTAGGTCACGTCTCCGGCGTCGATGAAGCCATCCTCCTCGCCCCCGCCTCCCGCTCCCTCCGCCGCCGCTCCCGCCGCCTCCGCCGCCGCCGCCGAGCCCGCGGCCCCGTCCCCCGCCGCCTCCCCTGCCGCCGCCGGTGGCTGGGGCTCTGCCATTGGGCTGCCTGGTTGCGGTGCTGAGTTCTCTTGGTAGTAGTGGGTGGTGTTGGTGACCTGGCGACGCTCGCCGAAGCAACCGCTGGAGGGGATCCGGAAGCCGACGCTGCTGCTGCTGCTGCTGCTGCTGCTGCTGCTGCTGCTGCTGCTGCTACGACGCAAGCTGCTTTGACGCCTGAGGTGTAACGCACCGACAAGAGCACAAGAGGTTACGCACACAGCAAGCAGTGGGGCTCGGACCGTCAAGCACCATGTGTCGGGGGCAGGCAGGCTCACGTTTCTTGTTTCGTCGCCACCGTCCGTTCCGCCGAGCGCCGGGTGTTATGATATACCAGGCGTTAAGCCCCATCGCTGAGCAAGCTGTGTCTCTTACGCCATATTGCTACATATATGTTTCGATAAAGCTATTGAGCCTCTGTTTCTTAGCGGAATGATAAGTTTCTTTATTGCTAGCCATACGGGGTTGTCCCGTTTTCACGGGGCTCAGAGCCGAGCAGGCAGACAAAAGAAAATCATCCAAGGCGAACGTATCGGCTTGTATTTACCAACACCCCATATGGTCAGGTGCAGCAAATAGTACTGGTCCCTATGGAGGCTAGGGCGGCATAAATAAGGCCGGTCGCACTGCTGTATAAGACCGGTGACATCGCACAGCAGATGGGATCAAATTGTCTTGCTCACTTTTAGTGCAGGGCACCGGGTGCAAGGCCGGCCGAAACCCCTTGCATTGCACTATTTACAGTAGGGGGCCAATATGGACACCTTTTTCGTCGTCTTCTCTCGCTTAAACGAAAAAAAACAAAGGATACGTAGTGCCCGTATCGCCCAACGGCTTGCTCTCTTCCGTGTGCTGTTTGACGAGAAGAGGAAGTTCGAGATTCACGATTCAAAGTTTCAGTTCACAATTCAAAGGGCCGGCATTCCACAGGTGCGCATATGCTGATCATGGCTTGTCGCCAGTGGCGGCAAGACTGCTCAGAGCACTGAGTTTGTGTGGGACTTCTTCAACACATACCATAAAATCAGCTCATTGAGACTTCGGGGATGTGCTTGGACACCAATCTGTTCCCATAACACAGGTACGTGCGATGTCGATGGTACTCTGTAGACTACCACTGGTCGATCATGGTATGCATACGCATACAAATACGCGGTTTCTATTGAATATGATCTACTCTAGTATATAGCATCCACCGCGCCGACCGGCTGACCACGAGAAGGCTCAAGTCTACAAATGACTTGCGCAGAGAGCGGGACAAGAAAACAGAGTTACACAGTAGAGTCGGCGTGCTTGATTTTGGGCAGCGAACACAACAGATTTTTGGCACACAAGAATTTTGAATCTTTCAGAAAGCCAACATGCCTCACCGGTGGAAAAACTTTAGACTTAAATTTAGACGACCACATTCTGTAGCGGGGACCAAACCATGAGAACCCCCTACGTGAGGAAACAGAGGGTGTCAACTCCGAGCACCCCAACGCTTTTGGCAGACAGACCACCAGACCACTCCCAGCAGACGTTCAGAGCAGCAACCCATCAGGCCTTCAAAATTACAAAATTACGTTTGTACTGCTGTGCCTCAAAAAAAATTGTTTATAATACAGCAGTCTGCTTGTAGCACAATCGGCAGAGAGAGAGATCAAGTCGGGAACAGGCACGAAGGAGAACCAGCAGCCTAGCCTCACGGTCTAACCGTCGCCTGTCGTGCTAACTTTGGTAGAGGTGGGTGTGTACGTGTGTACCCCGAGACGTTTCCTGCTTATGATCGGCTACGCTTGTTTCTATCGTTTGCCTTCTTTCGAAAATTCAAACCTGCATGTATGTGTGCGCGACTCTCGGCGACAGCAAGCGGTATAGGTGTGCAGGGTAAGCAAGCAGTCGTCACCAGCGGTTGGTAACGCCGAAATAACCGCTACTCACCGTGATCTATCGTGCTTCCTCTCTCGTGGGAGATGTTGTGGTGCGGTCCGCTCTCAGAGACCGGCGCTCTCAGCAGCTTTCACTTTCTTGACAGCCAGGCACAGCAGACGCCGAAACAGGTGCAAGCTGAGAGGGGGCACACAGAACGTTTTTCGAATATGTACCCAGGTGGGCATGAGGTGTGTCTTGGTGTGGTGGGTGGGTGGTTCAGACCCTGTATCTCGGTTGGCGAAGGCCCCCGATCCATCCACAGATCTTCACACCCACCCTCACTGCCGTCGTGCGTGCATCTGGCCATATGTCATAGCGCAACCATCTGCCCGAGCAAACAAGTCATGACCCCTTGTATTTTCTACCCTCGCATCCGAAGAACTGGTATCATACCCACATTTTCAGCAAGGGGGTTGGTGGGGTTGCTCTCGCTGCTACGTTCCACTTGCGGTACGACGAGGTTGCACCTCTCTCCGAAGCACGGCAGCGGCGGTACGCTGGCGATGATGATGCGAGCTATGCATACCTCGTCCCGCGCCCCTGCGCTCTTCGCTCGGGGTTTTGGGCCAGACCAATCTCCCGCCTGCTGCGGGGGCAGCCATTTCCTGTTTGGCAGCAGCGAGAGCTACATCAGCAGACGCAATACAAGCAGCAGGAGAAGGCAACACCTCCACAGCAGCAGCAGCAGCCACAGCAGCAGCCGCAGCAGCAGAAGGACGAGAACCACGCCTATGCCCGGGGCTCTGATGTCGACACGCGCAGCGGGGGCGTCGAAAGACGTAGCAGCGTTGGGGTCGAGGAAGGACGGGAGTAGGCCAGTCGAGGGCATGGTGCGGTCAATCTCCCCGTCCGCTGTTGCCGCCTTCCAACAGTGTCCCCAGCTCTTCTACTACAGGTAGGGGATATTCACGGAGGGCTATTTGGGCAAGCAAGCTATTGTACACCGCGGAAGAGATCTGCTGCTGCTGCTGCTGCTGCTGCTGTACTGCTGGGTGTTGATGGGTTTGACCGCAGCCGGCGTGCCTTGCTTGATACTCGCTCTAGTCTACACCTTGTTGCTGCCGAGGTTCAGCAGTACATGCGGCGGTATATCTACAGGTAGCCCGTATATGTAGATGATCTATGCGTACCATGGGGCAGGGTAAGCATGTACTTGCCGTATGGTACTGCTGCTGTACACCGCCGGGAGGATGTGTTAGGTTAGACTTTCCCCATTGTAGACGAAAATATTTCGCTGATTTCTGCGGTGCATTATTTCGGTAGGTCGGAGCGGCTCTGAATACTTGGGTCTACGGGATACATAGCCCCCTTCTCCGCCGAACAAGACCTGCAGGGTGTTGGTGGTGGTGGCAGCAGCCGGCGTGCCTTGCTTCGTACTTACTCTTCACCTTGTACGCTCCAGAGGGGCATGCAGTGGTATGCCATGCATATCACATGTACTTCGTAATGTATACCTGATACATTGTATCTCATCTCAATGTCACCTGCTGCTGCTGGTGTCCTGTGTGTGCATAGGCCTCGAGCCGTAAGACTGAGACCTAGGGCGTGCGGTTTCCGCGGTTTGTGCGCGGTCGCGTTACGTCTGGCGTATGCATATCTACAGAAAGCCTACCTACCTGTCCTTGGAGAGCAGCCAAGTCAAACCCCCAAGTGCCCCCGATGCATGTATCATTCGCTCGCGCCCGGCAACAGGTACATCCTGGGGTTGAAGAGCCCGCCCACACGGGAAACCCTCAAGGGCATCGCTGTCCACGAGGTGTGTATGTAGTACATCGTACCGAAGGTGGTGTCCGCGTACCTATTATTTAGTCACTGCCGCAGAGGAAGCGTCGGCAGTTGATTGTTTCGTGTGCCTATTTCTTTTTGTGCATCACTTGTACAAACATGCAACTTTCGAGGGGAGTAGTACTTGCTTCGCCGCCTGGCTGGGCCTTCAAAACGTGTGTGTCCTTGGCATATAAATATTGTATGCATACCCGCCAAGTAATCCGGCGTCGCATTTCTCGACAAGACGCAACAGGAGAGTTGTCCCAGTCGGTGCCCTGAATCCAGAAGCGTCGAGTTTCCCTAGTATAGGGCTTGAAACCCTCGTCTTCTCAACGTCGTTCCTCGATGAACGGGATCGAATGGCGTGGTAGGCAAAGGTTTGGGTCCAAGCGCTGAGAAAGACGCTCCGTACCAAGCCTCGCGTGCTAGCCGATCCGACATCCCTGGCTAACGTCTGATCAGTTTTTGGCTGCGAACGATATAGGGTCTTTCTCATGTGTACTCCGAAACAGCAGGGTGGCTCTACGTAGGTGCCACTGCTGTAGCTGGGTAGTGGTACGTGACCGCGATTTTGAGGCGGGGGTCGACGGAGAATTTGCTGCGTTGTTCCCCATGAACGTGTGTGGAAACGTTTCGTGTTTGATGCTGCAGGCACTCGCCAGGGTTTCCTCAAGCATGGCGTAGAGGGTAGTAGGTCAAGTGCATTGCAGTTGTCCCGCGCACACGGATTCCATGTCTCCGCCCGCCCCTGAATCTCTGTCTGTCTGTCCGTCTCTCTCTCTCTCTCTCTCTCTCTCTCTCTCTCTCTCTCTCTCTCTCTCTCTCTCTCTCTCTCGCTGTCTCCTCGTCCTTGTTTCTTTTGCTCAGGTGCTATCGCTATTTTTCACGCTAGAGGAGGGGTCTAGAGACATAGGTCACCTGCACGAGCTTTTCCGAAAGGTCATGACCGGGTTAATCGCACAGGACAAGGAGGTGCAGTAAGGTGTTAGGAAAGTGGAACATCGACTGCTCCTAGGACGCTGCACTACCGTATGCATAGTTAAGCCAGGTGTTTTTTTTAGGGGTTGTGGCACAGGGTAACTGAATGGTAAGGAAGCTTGGTGACTTCGAGGGTAAGATCGATCCGCCGGACTCATCCACGGATTTGTTGCGCGTGGGGGTAATGTTTCCCTTGTTTGTGCTAAACGCACCAACACGAGGCTGTACACACGAACCTCGGGGTGCTGTAATCTTGGCACCGGTCGTCCTGCTGCGGTTGACCCCACCCCCCCGTCATGCGTGCAAGAGAGGAGACATAAATGGGAGTCAAAATCCACGCCAGAAGCAGCTTCTTGCCCTCCATCGCGCGTGGTGCAGACGAATGCCACCCTGATCCTTCCAATTCCCGGTCTCAGATTCGAATAGATGTCAGCAGCCAGTGTCCACGCGCGCACCACAAACCGATCGAAAAGAAATGAACAATACAACTAAAATCGAAATTTCTGAAATATTTCGCCTGAAGCAAGCCTGAAGTCGTTTTTCGTTTAATGATTAGCCCCCTGTCCCCCCTTCCTTTCGCCGATTTCGACGAAACAAACGAAAAAAAAAAAGGATCCCTCCCGCGGCTACGGCAAGCTTTTCGAGACCCAGGAGGAGGAGAAGAAGTGGGTGGTCGAGTGCCTCGACCTTGTGGCGAACTTCGTGCGGGTGGAGAGCGATGCCAGGGACGACGGGGAAGGGGACCCGGAGCACGTGGAGCTGAGGATGACGTGAGCCGGGGGGGAGCGGGCGGGGGGGGGGGTGTACTCATAGTCGTGCATGCCGTAGTCGTTTGACCATTGACCTCGCATCCCTACAAAGCCGGGACGGAGCACGCCGGGTTCTCACCGGACCAGGCTCTCACATCACCAAGCGCGAAGCGCCGTGGGGGGTGCCCTAAGTTTGGCTGTTATCCCTCATCATTTTTTCGTTTTGCTGTTGGGCGGTTCGCGTGGGGAGGCGGGGATGTCCTAGTTTTGGCTCTTATCCCTCGTCCTTTTTCGTGAGTTGTGCCGTCGCGCGGTTCATGTGGGGAGGGGGAGCGGAGGGGGGTGTGTCCTAGTTTTGGCTCATAGCCCCCCTTTTATGCGTTGTGCTGTTGTGTGGTTCATTCGGGGAGGGGGAGCGGAGGGGAGGATGCCCTAATTTTTGCTCTTAACCGCCCTCCTCCTTTGTTGTGTTTTGCGGTTGCGCGGTTAATGTAAAGTTTGAGGTGTCGCTCACCTTGCGCGTAGTCCCGTTAAGGCAGCACAAGTGACGTCGCGCTATTTTCAACCCCCCAGCATGAGTCGTTTCAAGCTCAAAGAAGTGGTTGGAACCCGCAATCCTTTTTGGTTTTCTCGTCATAACGAAGTGATCCAGCCAGCCGTAAGGTTTCGGGGTACGATGTAGAAGGTACCTTTTTTAAGAACGATTTCCGAGCTCTTCGTGGGCCTACGTTTGTTCTTCTGCACGGTATATTATTCCGTGGCAACGATCGCGCCGCAGCCCAATTGTTCTGTGGCACAAATTGCCAAGCTCGCCGCCACAAATGCCGTGTTTCACCAACGCCGCCCCGCACTGCCTGGCCGAAAAACGAACACGCCAGGCACGAGTTCGGAGGAGGTGAGACGGCGGCCGGTCGACATATCGTGGAGGAGGAGGGGGAGGGAGGACAGGCCGGTGATGGTGTTGCGGCAAGCAATACGGCATGGTCCATGAACGTAACCGGGATCGTGGATCGATTGGATAGGTGTGTGTGTTGGTGTGTGTGTATTTTTTGTTAGCATCGACCGCGCTACATTACCTGCTGACCAATGAAATGACGTCGGTTCCAGATGGTGTAATCAAGGTCCTTGGAACGGAGACCAAAAATTCGAAGAAAACAAACGAAACGCACTGAATGTGAATGTCACATATACACCTCTCTACAAACCCTTTACAGTATAGAGACACAAGTGCCAAACCTTCTCATGTACCCTCTCCCGCAAATCTAGCAAGATACTAATGTAAAGAACGGAGGACAACCATTTTTTTTTTTCGAGCCCAGCCTCAGATGCAAGACTGTATACAGATTTGTGGTTCGTTGAAGTTCGCTGGGCTCTTCGAGTAATGAAATATATCAGCGTTGTGACCAGTTGAGCTCGGGAAAATTCATCACAGCTGGCAGCAGCCGACAGCCAGCTAGGGCTGTGGTCCTGCTGCCTGCGTTTTGTTGTCATCTTGCAGCACCCCTTGATGACAATCCGCAGGAAATCACTCGTATCGTCTTCACACATACATACGCCTCCCATATCTTGTGCTCTCTCGCGCAAACCTAAATAGGGAGCCACTCACGCAAAGGGCGGAGGATAGCCAAAACATCAACTTTCGAGTCAAGCCTAAGGTGTACCGTCGACATGCATACGCCTCCGAAATATTTTGAATAGGTGCCCCGACGGAACGCTGCGAGTGGTGGACTACAAGACGGGGAAGATTCCCAACCTCAAGTACTCCGAGGCGACCAACCAGAGGATAATGGACGAAAAGTTTTTCCAGCTGCAGGTGGGAAGACGATTTTCCGCGTGCATGTGTTTATAGAGCGGGCAGCGGGAGAGGGTGATTAGATAGTGCGAAGCCTGTCATACCTAATGGCTTTTGTAACTCCCGTATGGTGCACGTGGTCCATCATCGCTCTACCGTGGTTGGTGACCATGTAACCTCGCTGCCGCTGCTTTTTGGGCGTTAGTGAACTTCGATTCAGCATCAGCATCTGGGTTGTGCAAAACAGCGTGAAAACGACACAAACTCTAGTCTATAGTCTATTTTTCCTACATAAAACCTTACTCGGGTTCTCTTTATTGGGAGTTCATTTTTATTTTATGTTAGGTGGAGTTTTTAGCGTCAGATAACACTGCTGTCCCTCAAGCTGTTCATACTTATGAGGAGAACAACATCAATCACGAAACGGTTCCGCCCTGCCCCCCCCCCCCCCCCTCGATACGCCCTGCCCATGCGTCACCCCTCCCCACCCCCCTCCCGCCGACCGTCCTACACACTTTTCTAGATATACGCCCTGCTGGTGGAGCGCGTTTTGGGAGAAGCACCTGGGGAAATGCGGCTGGTGTACCTCAAGGGACCCGCAAGGTCAGGAGCTCTCCTTTTATTTCGAACGGATTGTTAGTGTGTGTTTCTTGTGTGTTTGGGCCCGACGTTGTGGAGAGGTCGTTCGGGTGTGGCTCTATTTGTTGTTCAGACCGTTATATGCAACCATTCCCCCGGGGGTTCTCTGAAAGGAGGACTTGCACGTGCCGGGCAGGCGGAAAGCGTTTTGTTAAGCTGTTTTTTTGCCTGTAATAGGGCAGGGGATGAAGATGATTCGACAGACAGGGCAGTTTCCACGGCAACGGTCCGACGGCCGCATCGTACGTGCGTTCAAGCCCCCTCCGCCCCTTGTTGCTGCTGCACTCGCTTAAGAAGCCGTTCCCGCGTCTGTCTGGTGTGCTCACAGCGTCACCCGCAAGATCGAGCCTGCCGCCCTGCCCTCGGTGGAGGGCGAGCTCAGATCCACCTGGGACGAGATCGCCGGGTCGGTGCGGCGAGATAGCTTCCCCCCTCGCACCAGCAGGTTGTGCGACTGGTGCAGCTTCCAGGACCGATGCCCGGCGTTCGACCCGGCGTTAGAAGAGCGATAACGACAGCTGCACCCTTCAACTTGTTGCTACGACAGCTGCTGAGATGGTTGGTTGCCAACCGCTGTCTGTGGTTTTTGGAGAAAAAGCGCCGAAAGTAGGGACAGGGGCATGGCCGGAGGGGGGCGTCACTGCAGGGCCTCGATTTCGTGCGGTACGCAGGATCGATATCTCGCGTTCGAGAATGTTAGTGGGAAAACAAGGCCCGCGGTTGTCGAAAGAGGAGCGTGGCGCGGCGTAAGCCCCGTGAATGGAATTTGTGGGTCCCTGCCCCGTGTTTAACTGAAAAAGGAGAAAAATGGTTAGGGCGCGGTCGGAAAACAACCGCCGCACCACGGGCCTTGCTTGTCCCGATTCATCAATGGGCAATACTCGCCCTCCCCCCCCCCCCTCCCCGGGCGTTTTAGGGTTAGTATGTGCTTGTCTCATTCGTTGAGGTTCGCTTGGCTCTTCGAATCAAAGCACGTGAGCTGTGTTGGCTGTTGAGCTTGGGAAACGTTATAACTGGCAGCCAGCTGGGGGCTAGTCCTGCTGCATGTTTTTGTTTATTTTTCATCTTTCATTATTTCATGGTGGCGCTATATGCTTCTGTCTCCAAGGGATGGATCCGTTTTGATGCATAACGACTGTTGTAGAAAGATGACGGCGTGGAAAGTGATTTGCAGAGGAGTAACAACCCGAAGAGGCGATAGTGCCCCCGCCGTCCCTGCTCCGCCACCCGCACTACATACAGCAGCAGGAGACCCCCCACCGAAAGCAAGAGGAATTTTTCGGCGCCAGTGGCATAAACAAGTATCGGAAGGACCGGCCGTTGTACCTTAGGTTGCGCAGTAAGACATGACACCCCCTCCGGGACAGACTTACTTCCGAAACTCATACTAATAAAAAAAGATAAAAAAAACTCGATTTTGCTCCACGACGAAGAAGAGAAGCACGACATACATAAATTTACCGTACTCATTTACATGCAATTATTAATCAATCGTAGAATCAAATGAGAGTACTTTTGGGACAAAGCTCCAGACGAGACGGTTCCAACCGAGGACCATTCCTTTTCGGCGCCGTCACTTTACTGGTGTTCTTTCTCCGCAGTAAATGGAGGTTTGAGAGTCGGTGGTCCAGGAGGCGTGATGGCGTGATTGATGGTGTCTCACGTCTCTCACGGAAAACCACGGAAGGGTATACGCAGCGAGAACCGCTTGGGACACTGCTGCTGTGGACTTTTTTTTTTTTTTTTGTCTTCACTTCAAATCAGCGCTCACAGCACTACAGTAGTTGGTATCCTCGAAACCTTCTAGAGGTCAGGTCGTTCGAATCCCGGCGCAAGCGAGCTTTTCTTGCAAAGTGAGTTTTTCTCTCGCTTCCGCTCCTGGCCTAGTGGATAACGCTACTTCGTGTGTACAAAGAGGGAAGAGAGTGCTGAACTCTTCTCGCCTTAAAAATTGAAGGCAAAGTACCGCAGGAGGGGAGGGTAGAGAGGGGCTCTTCTGTGTGACCACGGGTTGGAGTAAACGGCACTAAATAGACCACCGGGGGCGACCGGCTTGTCGACACACAAAAACAGCACACACACATATTTTTTTGGGACATCCATCCATCCGTTCCCCTCTCCACGTGAAAATATATAGGGCTTACTTCCAGATGACCTTGTGGAGAGCACTCAATTCAACAGCAAAGGTCGTGCTCTGAGCACCATCTTCACAGGTCCGGGCAGGCATGCGCATGATAGTGCTCGGCGATGGGAGCGCGCATTTGATGTGTCAGTTCGGCCTCTGTTTGGCGGGCCATACTTGTACGGGTACAAAATCGTAAGCTACATACATACGAATATCTTTAGATAGTTGTAAGGAGCATGCGCGCACACATCACAACCCGCTTCCATCGTTTTGATAAGCTACCTCGTGGGCAGCTGGCACGCGATTAGAAGAACACTGTAGATCCTCTGCTCTTGTCAGCAGCGCAAGAGGAGAGGGTGGGAGAGACAGGGGGGGGGGGGAGCGCGAAGGTACGCGGAAAGTGGCACACAAATGAACAAGGGCGGAGAGAGTTAGACGGAGAGGGGGAAGGGCCCAAAATTTTCAACCAATCAACGACCAACAAGGGGTGTAGGAGCGCACCGGAGCAGGCGGGGGGTTGGCCTCAGGTGTGTCCATTTTAACTCACGCAACGAACGAGAGAGCTACTCGCGAGAGAGAGAGACCACGGGACCAACCGGATCGGGGAGGATACTGCCCCCCGGCTCTGCCAGCGGTCTGTCTGTCTTGGGAAGGTTCTTGCGTGAGCAGCGTAGAGCTACGGGGGCGGTTGTGCTTTTTTGGCTGAGGTGCCCCAAGGCGGGTATAATTCATATTTCACCTGGCGCATCATCGAAGAGGCGCAGATACATGTCGGAGATTCAGCAGCAAGAGGGTGGGAAGGGTGGGAGGGAGGAGCAGCGCAAGGCGTCCGGGGTGGGAGGCATGGAAGACGACGGTAGCGGCGGCGATGGCGATGGCGGTGCCGCGGCTGTTGGCGCTACTGGGAGAGCGCCCGCACATGAGCACCCAGCAGCTGAAACCCGTAAATTACCGCCTGCTGCTTCTGCTGCTACGACCACTCCGAAGCGAGCCACGAGAGCATCCACAGGAGCGCCGATAGCACTGACGGCAAAGGGGAGCCTCTACAAGGCGAACAAGGACACCGGTGAGTGCTTGCTGCTGTGACGGCGTGTGGGTTTTTAAAACAACGAACCACGAAGAGCGACGTGCAGCTGCTGCTGCTGCCCGTGTGTAGTTGTATGCGTGCGCATGCGCACAGAGGAGGGGTACATCATACATGCACACGTTTGTTACTGGGAGACGGAGAGAGAGAGCCAACCCGATTCCCGCTTGCTTCTACCACGACACCGTTACTTGGAAGGTCCTCTCCCCTCTCTGCTGTGTTACGAGCAACAGCGACGACAACGGTGATGGTTTATATTGCCGCGAATTCACCCGCTCGCTCCCAACAGCATTTCATTCATGTTTTTTTATTTTTAATATATTGAGTTGTTTGCCCGCCGCCGTCCACAAAATGCGCGATTTTTTTCACGCACTTTTCAAATCAATGGTTTTCGCGTTTTCGCCGACACCCCAACGTATGCATTGTCAAAATACAGCAGCATGCTCTCGCATGAGCACAAACTTTTATGAGCAAGTATGCATACGCGTATGGTTCTTCTACTGCGAACACCCATGCACGATGGACACGCTCCACAAAACATTACCCCGTGCCGTGTGTGTGTGTGAGGTGTGAGCACAGCTCGTTAGGGTTTGGTTGCAGTTGCAGCACTGCCAACTGCTGTATTTTGTATTTTGCGTTACATGTATTAATCTAGTGCTCCACCACAGCAGCAGTCCGATGTCCAAAGTTTCAAATCGCTGCGCACGCAGGTTCCCCGATTCCCCGGATTCCCCCATGTATGTTGCTCATCATGTATGGACGACGGGCAACATAACTAACTGCCTGGAGGTTGCGTGATATGTCACACCCTCTGGCCTGACGGGCTTGTAAAGCTCGATCGAATGCTACTCTGTCTGCAGCGAAAGCAGAGACGGTGCCGAAAACGGTGGCGTTTGATCGAGCCTCTCTCGTCGAGAACTACCTAGGTCTAAATACTTGTTTCCGTAGTAACATTCTTACGAAAAATGGAATGTGTTTTATGTATCATTATCCAAAGAGTCTACTATTTATTAAAAGACTGCTGTTGTTTTGTGATTTTGGTATGTGTCTACGATATCTGTGCTGAAGGTAGTCCTCTTCGTGGAGCTGAGCTTTCAAAAATTCGTCCCACAGGAATGTGCGGGATCCAACCTATTTATGTATGTATTACATGTTTGCAGGCATTACTGCCAGGTAGGGTACCAAGGGTACACGCATTTTCCCTTCTTTCTTCGTGTTTCATGTTGCGATGTTGCGACTGACTGCTGCTGGTACATGTATCTACAAGTTTTGTGTCGTGTGTCTTTTATACCAAGCAAGGCAGTTATTTTGCTAGAACCTTGCGGAAACTCAATTCATGCGGCGGCATGGATGCACATGCAAGTTATTTGCGCATGTGTTACAGTATCGGGGCACTTTGCATTGGGCGATGTTTTGGTCGTGAGTATCCTCGAACAACGTGTACCCTATTCTACAGTCAAGCGGTTGTGCATTTTTGACACTCCGGGGGTTGAATAGCCTGTCGGCCATGTATCCGAAACTTGTTTTTTCATGTACGGTCTGGTGGTGCTGATGATAACGACGGTAGGTGCTAAGCTTAGCCTTATCAGGCACGCCGAAGGCGTGCTTCAGGCATGTGCAAAACAGCCCGCCGCAGGCGAAAAATTTTGGGGTCAGGCAAAATTTCAGGCATTTGCCTGACACCAGGTTTTTGCCTGAAATGCCTGATTTGAATCACGCAACCTGCCTGAAAACTTGCCTGACACTTGCCTGAAACCCATTCAAGTCGTTTTGGCGCCCTCATTACGCAACTTTAGCGCGTAACTAACGTGCACCCGCAGTGTTGGCATTCAGGGCTTACACTGAAGTATTCAGACACGTAGTTGACGAAAAAAATATATTATTATTTTATGTTGCAAACATACTGTACGTTGGTTCCCCCCATTCACCCCATGCGTCTCGACTCAGTACTCCACCAACATCAGCAAGAGGTTGCTTGAAGCGGGCGAGGGGCGAGGGGCGAGGTACAGAGAGCGCACAGAGGCTGGAGGAGCAGAAAGAAACAGAGAAAACCATTACTACTTCGCAAAGAAGATTGTTGTTGTACAGATAGATAGATGCCAAAGAAACCAGACAACAAACAAACGTCCAAAACAAGATTCGGACATTCAACGTTCGACAACAAGCAAAGCATTCCCCGCCGACGCAAGGCATGGTAAACCGATAATTACCATCCTCCCCCACTTCCATCTGTCTGTTTGGTGTGTGCAGAAGCGCTAAATAAATAGACAACGCTAACAGTCAACGAGCTCTAGGAGCAGGGGGCCAGGATTTTTAAAGTATGACCGGAGGTAAATGCGAGCAGCCAGCCAGATTATTATTGGCGCCCCCTCGACTTTCCCGCAATCCCTGCCATGTACGCACGGGCAAGAAAAGTTAGCTGGCAGCATCTTGCTGCACGACCACACGACACACTGCCAGCACGACACTACCAGCACGACACACCGCTAGCTAAACTACCGCTGGCGCATCATTCGTCGAGCGCGCAAGGTCGTGCATTTTTTTTTTTTTTCTTAATATGGCACAACGAATCCGTCTCTATTTTTTTATTTTTTTTATTAGGAGGGGGTCCGTGCTTGATTTGTTCCCCCTCTCTGTGTCTCACGGGCCCCCCTCGGCCCCCTACATACCTACTTATGAGAGTTGGCGTTTATTTTATGATGCCTGACACGTGTTGTGGCGGTTTGCTGCGTTGCCTGGCGAAAGTCAGGCATCTCAGGCACCAAACACCCTCTCAGGCAACCCCGATCTGAAAAGGGGCTGTCGGGCAATAAATCAGGGTTGCCTGATAAGGCTAAGCTTAGTAGGTGCTCACTCTCCCCGTCCTTTAGAATACAGACCATCTACACATGCATGTATCTGCACCTACAGTAGTTCTTGACAGCGAAAGACAAGAAGTTGGATCCCGGGGTCTACCACGAAAATACTTTCTCTGGGCAGGCAGCAGCAGCAGCAGCGGTGCAAGCATGTTTCGTTGTTTCTGACGCTCTCTGCGCGGTTGCGGCATTTTCAGCAGCTATCTACTGCTGCTGTGCCTTGCCCTCAAGCGCTCACATGACAGCAAGGCAAATCTCCGCCTGCTTCGCGCCCCCCTCCCGTTGATGCGTACCTGTTGCGAGCGGGCTACAGATGACTATTACACGTTCGAAGTGCATGATAAATTGATAGTTTGATAACTTTAGCCCGGACGACAAGGGTACTGTAGAATAGGTGGCGACGAGCAGTTGGAGTCTTCTGTGGTGTACCGTTAAATAGTTTCGGTTGAAATACCCAGTGGTTTGCTTGGCCTTGCAAGCCCGCTACCATGCAAGGGGGGCTGGACGCAGGTCACCACAGCAACGTCAGCAGCAGCAGCAGCAGCAGCAGCAGCAACATACGTTTCCGCGGATCCTCCAGTTGACCGTTGACGTTTTTTTCCGTTCGACCGTGTTGCGTACACCATATTTATGAAGAACGCCTCCGCCAACGACCCGATGGTCACGTGTAGACGGGTGTTTTAAGTTTTTTTTTTTTGGGCGATTGTTCGTCGCCGCGGTCGTCCTGAAACCGATTTCTCCACGTGTTGCAGGCGCCTCGTCGGAGGAAGAAGGAGGCGGCGGCGGCGGCGGCGGCGGGCGCTACTCCAACAACAACAACAACAACAACAACAACAACAACAACGCCCGCCGGATGCACGGGCGAGCCGCCGCCGCCGGCCCCCTCGCCCCCCCGTCCTCATCTCGCGTGGCCTTCTCCAACACCGCCAAGACCGGCGGCCTCGCAATATCACCGCCAACGCTACCACGGAGGACCCCGGCGGGCGCCTCTTCTCCAGCGGCGGCGGCGGCGGCGCGCGCTCTCGCTTCGGAGGCGTTCGGCAGGCCGTACGGGCCACCGTCCGATGATTTCGCAGGAGGCCCCGCGGCGGCGGCGGCGGCGGTGGCGGGAATGGCGGGCTCGAGGGCTCCGGTCTCCAGGTCGGCCGCGAACGCCGGCACCGGGGCGGGACGCAGGGTTAGCGATGGTGGCGGGGGCACTGGC